TTTTTTTTTTTTTTAAATGATGGGACTAATTATAGTAACACATTTTAGGATAGAATTGTGCAAAAGTCTTGAGCCATCACACATTTTATTATATTTTTCTGGGAAAATAAGTGCCACATATCCTTAAACCATTTACAAACATCTCTGTAGATACAGCATATAAAGCAAAGACAGCCTTTTGAAAAAAAAAAAATTCTCATTGGTTTGAAAGTCAGTATGATCTCACACAGCTTCAGTAATGTTGCTGCTGCTATTTTAATTTTTAACAGTGGAATTTTAAGGTTTAACTAAATAAACTGGAAGTAATTATGTCCTTATATATCAGACCGTCGTTTAAAAAAGTTCCCGAAGATACAATTTATTTATACTTATCTATACTATGTTGTCTGTTATGTGCAAACACACCTCTGGGCCATCGCTTGAGTTAGGGGACTTTTTTATGCTTGAATAAATAATTTACGATTTGTCACAATGAGGAACATTTCAGATTTTATGTCTTTCATCTATTTTTTATTTGAAAGTGAAAAGAAAAAAAAACGGAGGTCTGAGCAGTGAAAAACTGAAGATTCATCACATTAAGGAAAACTTGAGACAGCTGCACAATAAAAGCATAAAAACCCCACAGTGACCCAGGACACGCTGGAGAGATCTCTCCAGCGTGTCCTGGGTCTGCCTTGGTATTCCCCTGTATAAGGTGGAGGAGGTGCCTGGGGAGAGGGAGGTCTGGGCTTCTCTGCTTGAGCTGCTGCCCCCGCGACCCAGCCCTGGATAAGCGGAAGAAGATGGATGGATGGATGGATCCTGTTTAATTTCTTTTTTTCCCCAAACATGTATCCTACCTTTACCGCATCTTTTAAACTTGTATCCTGCTGTTAACATATATCTTACATTCAACATTACCTCATTTGTTTAAACTTGTATCATGTGTGTAGTTTTAGTTAAAAAAAACCAAACAAACAAACAAAAAAAAATGTCAGAAGCATCCGTGCCGTTTTCTTTTAGAAATAAAAGTCGACCTCTGCGAGGCAATAACGCAGACGGCTTAACCTTTATGTTCCCTGTCAGGGTGGTGCGATACCCCGGGGTCATGAAATCCCCCCACCCCTCCGTAGAAAAAAAAACACAACAGAAAGACCGAGCGATACTCCGGGGATCGCGGAGTACCCCAACGGGATTGTAAGGGGTTGTAAGGGGATGGAGAAAGGCAAGAAATGTAAATCTTGGCGGACACACACAGAAGCTGCTGCAGCAGCAGGGTTGTGGACAGGCTATCACAAACCAGTGGCGTGTCTAGAAAAT